AATGATATACAACATTTAGCTAGTGAATTAGTTCAATTGTTGAGGTATAATATGTAAGCAAGAGAGTAGAAACTATATTCACACGCGTTTTAGAGACACGACCTATGTCTTCCTGAATTTTCCCCGCCAACGGCAACTTGTGAATCTTGTGCTTGTAATAATTTAATATTACAATTAATATAGTAAAAGCTTAATTAGTTTATTAAACTTTGAAAAGGGAAACATAATTTTCTCATAGCAACCCCGAGTTTCATAACGACCGCCATATTGAAAAAGTAATGAAAAACTCCAACCACTCAGTTCAAAACTCGCTTTATTGAAAAACTATTTCATTTCGAGACAGACAATTTCTAGAAGCTGTCTTTTGAGGGATAAACTATGTATTTATACAAGTAATATTGAATTGATTCTCGTAAATATGAGAAAATATCTTTATTATATTATTCAGTATTAGTAATATCGTTCTACCTTTTTGTTTATGCCGAGTCTTTGAGACAAGAAAACGTTTAATATTTATAGATGAAGTAAAAGAGTAAACGTGAAACTAAAATAGATACAATAATACAAATTGCTTTTGCGATGTAAAGAAAATGAGGGATATAATTGACAGAGACAAGTTACACTTGCGAATTTCCCTAAAACTGTACATACTAAACCTACATCTAGTACTGTAAACCACTAACCATCTAGATCACATCACACGATTCCTATGTTTAACTAATTATTGTGTAATATGTAATAACTTCAATACGTATATCTAATATTCTCTAAATATAACTTGCTGATCATTTATTTTTGTGTCTAAAATTCTCGTATCAGTATTAGTATCCATACTTTTCTGAAATGGTTTAACCAATTTTGTATATATAGTTGAAATTTTATATGTATACTTTGTAGGTTTATTACCGATATTAATTTATATGGCAAAACAAGCCGGGTCAGCTATAAGTAAATATATGTAAGATGTATAAACATCTAAACTAAAAATATAAATCAATACTATACATATTTCACAATTTGTTAATACTAGAGATTTCTTGATAGATATATTGTTACTTTAAATATTTATATTTAAAGTAATATATATACAACATTTACTCATATTTTTCATATACTGTACCTGTGTAGGTAAAATGAAACGCACGGAAAGAAATTCTCATTTTGATTGATACGTTTAAAGCACTAGAGAAATATAATATTAGTGGAATCTACTGATATTAGATACGTGACGTGATGAAATTACTTCTATGACATTGAGAAGAACGAATAGTTATTTTTTAAAACGAAAATATCATGTAATCATGCATACCTGATACTTAATGATTACTATAGACGATGACTTTCAATACTAGATGTATCATAGGTGAAATTTGACTTAAACATCATCAATCATCAACATAGTATAGAGAATAAAGTATACCACAACAATAAAGAGTCCTAGGATCAAATCTGGCTGAAAATCTTATTTTAAAAATGATTAATTCTTAACCTTAACCTTGGAAATAAACCAAATCAATGTGATGCACGGCAGTAAGTTGAAACAATGCCAAGTTTTATTCAAATAGTCTTAGCGAAATGTGGGCAAATCGTTACGTTCACCATACAGACAACAATTGACAACATATCTAACTACTCCATCTATTCTACACGGTGAGTTTTTTTACATCCACATGTTGAATTCGCTCATGATACTAATAGATATTCCTTATAAATAGTTTTCCGTTATTTCGTGACGAGGAGATTATTAGTACCCACCTAATCCGAATCAGTGACTTCATCGTTAGCAGTGTAAAATGTTAGATCAATCAACCACGCGGTCCTAAAAAACCAACTCGATTTATTTCTGGGAAATTCATCAGTTACACTGGTGCCCCGTTCACATGCAGCACTAGCAGGAATGCACCTCCACACCACACATATTAATAAATTAAATATATGCACGATAAATAACACGATATATTGTACATATATACACGATAAATTGTATGTAATCAGGCGTTAATCCTCAAAGACTCGAGTGTATACTTCGGTAAGTGTAACGTTGCACTTACCTAAGCTTACGACATGACATGGTTCGTGACGACACATATATGATGGATTATCCACTCATCTCTTTGGAATTAAAGGGTAATTTTTGATTATTATGTATAAAGACGCAAAGTTGCTTATTTATACATAATAATCAAAAATAAACTTAGTTATTCTCTCTGTTTCTATAAATGTCAACACTTTTAAAAAAACATTTGGCCTGATTGGTTAGCAGATCTATCAGAGCACAGCGTAAACTCGAAGTCTGTATCGTCTCACTGTATAGAAATAGTTTCTTAATAAGAAGTGGATATTGACTAACTTTTTAATGGACAAGTGACTTGATGTAGGAAAAGATCTCAAAACTTGCTTCTCTTGAATAAGTGCTTTGTTTCCTTAGTAGATTTTACTATATTCAGAAAATGTAAAGACATTTAATTTCTAACTTATTCATATCAGGGTAAATATACAATTTATATATTAATTGTTTATAGTAATTGTAAAAAGTCTCATTCAATCTATCCATGCTTTTGGTCTCTCCTACATAGAACGGATAAATTGGGTGAACGAACATAGGTGTAAGAAGTAGTTTTTTTAATCAATGATAATTGTATAGTCCGCCTGTGTTAAAGGTATAATCTAGCGGGGTTTATCATCTTACCCTTCAATAGAGGGTAATACGAAGAGTATAACCTCAGGTCAGTTAGTCTATCATGAAAGATATATTTTACTATATTAATTAACCACAATGATGTCTTGTACTAAAAAGAGGAGGGGCCTCTATAATAATAGCGGGTTCGGTAACAAAAATATTGAAGTAGGAAAACATACTGCGGCACATATTGTACACAATTACTTAATAATCCAAAGGCAAGACAGTGATGAATAAAATGTAATATAGCAAATTCACTATATTATACCATCCTTTGAAGTGATATTATGTATAGCTGACATCCTTTATTATCAATTTTGTACAGTAATTGGTATTGTATTGAATCCTGCCACAATGAAGCATAGTTCTCTTCTTTATATCATATAATATTGGAATATTGAAGAAGACACATTAAATGAAGAATAAGTAGAAATGAGGCTGTGTCACGAGAACAGAGATAGAGTATGATAGTATGTAGATAGGATAAGAGCTAATAATAAATACAATTTCAAGGTTAAGTATCTTCTAATTTTATTAAGATTCCTACAGCCGTTAACATACTTTCGCATTAAATTGGTATGACTTTTGTAAACTACTGATTAAGATTTCTGAATGTAATTCAATTTACCCAAATAAGAAAATTTCACGTAATTTTGACAAAATCTCTTTTCATCGTGAAAAAATATCGGTTTATTGCAAACGAATTAGAGATTCAAATTGAATTCTATTTTCAATTTATCACGTTTTTAGTAGAACATTCGAGGCCGGAAAATTTTATTGCCCCAACTGTTTGTAGTCGCAATTTCATTGAACTTTTCGCGCTAACGCTCCTTGGGTTCAGGAAACTGAAGCATAAAACGCAGAATTCAGTAAGGGAACCCTAATAAAGGTTTATGCATTAATTGAAACCTATATACTAATATACATCCAAGATAGAGTAGGCAAAAGAATCAACTGTCGACGTAGAGCAATATTTTCACTCGACGTTTTGATCATACTCGTACTTGGCAGGAACAACTCTGTCGATTTCTCTTAAGTTAATTCAATATGTTATTGATGACCACTACCGGATTTTCAGTCAAATATAAAATCTTTTTGAGTCCGTCAGATTTGAATTCACTACTTCACAGGTATAATTCGGGGTGGTAAACACCTACGCTCTTTTGGTACATACACATGCGTTTGCAACTTTATTTATTTTAGAAAAATATAGTGTTAATATAATCGTTTAATATATTCATTTCACTACCATAACTCAACTTTCATATCAAAATTTACATTTTACAGAACGATATTAACTTGTTCCTTGACATTTTCTTTTAAAACATACAATTCCATTGCTGACAAAAACTATTACAAATTAATTACCCTCAATTAACTGTAATAAATACGGCTTATAATTCCTAAGCATAAGCTTTATTGTTGGTATGAAATATACAAGAGTATTTAATGATGAAATATCGTGTGTAAATGCTATAACTTTGAAATAATTCATTGACATTAGGATACACAAAAGAGAGGTATTTTGTACATGAGTTCACTAAATATTAAGATTCCTATTTAGTTCTTTTGTCGATAAAAAATAATACTTTCAACCTTATTATCTTTTTATTTATTAATGGTCTAGGATCATAAGGAATATCTACTCTCATATGTTATTTAATAATTACAACGTTTATATGTATATTTGTAAATAGCACATGGGTTGCCAGACTAAACCCTGGGTAAAGGTGCTAAATTTCATAATAACATAAGACACCACTATCTCCAACACGCACTTATTACGCAACTTATTAATATAAGCGTAAACATGTGTAAAGAGCCAAAGTTGAAAAACTTAAACTTAATTATACTTAATTTTTTATATACTATCATAAATATTGTTTATCATGGCATGATATCATGGGGTGGTCGGTCCTGGCTTTATTTACTAATGTTACTCCTTGTTGTATGTACAATAGCATTCTACAGTCGCATAGGCGATGGGATGACTGGTGATGATAGGATCACAAGTGGTCCAAAATAATTAAGAGCTAATGAAATATTTATATATAAGTGTCTCAGAAGACTACCTAATTCAAATAAGGGGCCGCTCAGTTAAGACTGCATACAAATTAACACTAAACTGCCAAAAATTCACATGTGTGCCAAATATACTCCTTACACGGTGAGCGTATATCATTAGCACAACCGTTGTATAAATATGAGACCTATTTGTTTGTATGACATATATGTATGACGCATATTAAATAATACAAATAATACTGCAGTTTATTATTAAGCTTGCGAAATATTATTTAAATTATTTATTTGTCTGCAGGTCTATTTGAGACAGATGGCGTCCGCGTGCCTGGGACGGAATGCGACTATCAGTTCAGCCGGTCCGGCAATCGGCCGACGCATGGCCGAATGTACAGCCCTCGATACCCGTCCATCTATCCAAACAACGTGCGATGTTCCTATCACTTTCATGCCAGGTTAGTAACAGTAAAAATGAATGAAAATAGAGAGATGCTTGTATAGACTTTTATTATAGCAGAGCGCAGTGATAGAAGTGTTATAAAACAAAATGTATAAAAAGACCTCTCATATTTTAAATATGGATAAACGAATATAAAAACTGTCAGTACTCTCATTGTAGGTCTAACAGTAACCCATAATTAGAACAAAAAAGGAATTTGTTTTAACCATCTTCAAAAGTGAGAGGCTCTTCAGTTCAACGTTTTTTGTGTATACTCCAAAAAATAATACTTCATTTTTTTAATCTCTGTTTAAATTAACATCATTTTTTGAACTATAAAAGTTTATTTGTAAGTTTGTAATATCATAACATAAAAGTTTTGTTTATTAAAATATTTTTCTAATGAAATGTTAGTAAAATTAAACAACAAAAACATAAAACTTAAATTCAATCATATTATAGACCATTCAATAAATAAGTTTATATTTTAAGTTTATACATTAACTAGTTAATACAATAAAGTACCTATACAAAAATAAGGCAAAGGTGGAAAAAGGCACATAACAGCGGAACAAACAGTCGAGTCGATTCCTCTAGTTTTGAAATTGATAAAAAAGTTACACTTTTTTCCTATTAAAACTATTTCCATACGAGGTGTAGATGACACGAGCGTATACGAATAAAATTCAATATTCCATATCAAAGTTGAAAACTAGTTCACATGATCCGGCAGAATTCCGGTTGACAATTCAATTCAACGGGATGTCTACTCCCTTATCAGATTTCTATTCCATACCTGCCATACTGAGTTCCCCTAAATTGTGAATTATATACGATTTGTCACGTCCCTGATTTTATTTGTCACGAGTCACGCCAAGCATAACAACAAGCGTATTATGGTTCGTTGACTACAAAAAACATAGAGAAAATTATTTCAAATAACTGAAAAAAAAATCAAATATATAATATTTTCCTAAAAGAATTTTGGATAGGCTTCTCTATCTGTTTCTCTAAACTTACAACCTACCGAAGTAGACTTTCTTAAAATAATTGCATAGGTCCTTTCTCGCACCTAAGCATTGTTTTCCAGCAGCGAAATGCTGGCGGAATTAAAATGAGATACTCATACTGACGACTTTGAACAAAGTACCCCTTCAATTAATTAATATTATTATTAAATATATTATATATCTATACGTACAACATATACTTGTTAATCGTATTTTATAGCCTCCTGTATTCCTTTCTTTCAGAGCAAAAGAACGAGTAAAAGTGGTATTTGAAGAGGTATCTCTTCAGAAAGGTGATATTAGGTTAGTATACTGTTATAAATTGAATTTTGTGTAACCTATATTTTTGTACAGTTAAATGAAAATAAATCGTGTATAATCCCTTGTAAAACGAATGTCGGATGGATATAACGATACACATATATATATACCCACAATATTAGACAGAACAATGTGATAAATTCTGATGAACCTTGTGTTTAAAAGAATTATGACACACGGAAGGTACTTTTAGTTAAAGATACCGATAATTTAATCTTGAAATCGATACATAATAATTAGTTAAAGATATAAGATACGAGTAGAAAACTATATAAGTATACAGTTATGTATTTTATTCTTTTGTAATTTACAAAATTAAATTACTTGCTATGATGACGTAGCAGTCAAAAGTCCGCTTGAATCAGAACAAAAATTTATCGATTATGTGTGCTCTAAGATTATCAATAAATACTAAATGTTATTCATATTCTTCTACAAAAAGCAAGGTTTAATAACAAATATACAAATATTTTTACTAGCTTTCTCATTTATAAAATAGGTAAATTTCGAAAACTATAGTAGAATAGGTTTAGCACACCGCTGTACTTCGGATGGTCGCGTATTCGATTCCTCGGACGATACAAAGAATTGTATCCATGAGTATGATTGATTGTATCGGTCTGGGTGTTTTCATACATATTATGTATATATTTAAAAAAAAATGTATCTTGTATTTATATCAGCTGTCTATCCACAAGCTCAGCTTAGCTTGGGACTAGATGGCGCTGTGTTAATTGTCCAGAGATATTATTATTGTAAATTATGTAGACTGTAATAAATATATAATACTACTAATAAAACCCTATTCGATAAGTATCAAATTCTCCAACTTAAGTGCTTATGTACGATTTATTATGAACATCCCATAAAATCACCGTCAATATCCGCCGCGGACAGGGGCAATAAAAATGTCGTACGTACCTCGTTATAATAGAATCCTTGATCTGAAATATTGAATATTACACGACAAGTGCAGCATCGGACGTTGCCATAAAATTCTGTCGTAAAATCTTCCGTCCGACAAAATGTACAATGTCCGGATCATGTACAGGGGAATATTATGAATAGAGGCAATTTTGTTGGTTATGTAAAGAGAAAATGGAATGAAAATAATATATCTATACTAATGTTACAAAGTCGAAGAGTTTGTTTAAAAATATTGCTAATATGGGAAACAATTATTTTCTCTTTACATGCAATTATTTTGCTCTATATATAAAAACGAAATTGAGCGGTTCGGGTTGTACTTATTAAAATACATATGTAAATAAATATCTAAGGACGTATTACACAGCATCATCTAGTCAAATGTAGTAGTTTCAATTGGCAGTTTGGACTGACACATTGTTAAATTAAAAGTTTTAAGTTACGTAAAATTTGTTTAAAAAATCAGAAAACAATTTTTTGGTAATATTTCTTGGCTGTGGATTCTGAATAGACAATAGAATAAAACGACTATTCCAAAATGCTTAAAATTATATTTATTTTAATACAGAATATTATTACTTTATTTACAAAGTCATGAATAATAGTATTAGTCACCGACTAATGTAATGAATACATATTAGAAAAACAGACCATTACAAAAAGACATGCAAAAACCGCAACGTCCACAAGCTTATTAGTATACTTAACCTTAATGCTACAAAACCTACGAATAGTATTCGATATAGATCGCATTAAACACACATATTACATATAAATATGCAATGTTTACTAAAGACTCAATAACGTTTCAATAATACTTAAAAATATCGCAATACTTCTATTTGAATTGTAACAGTCACAATCGCTAACGAAACCGAGAACGTTAGCATAATTAAATTATGAACGTAACGGCCCACTTGTGTTCCCGTTAATGAGTCCACACTATAAACTATATCTGCCGGCTTAATTAACTGGATAATGCATGAATGCGCTGCCCGAATGGCGGAGAATTTACATTGCATCAGTGGCTACTGGGCTAGACGAATAACGTTCGTATTAGTTCTGTCACTAATTACTCACTTAGATCACACATAGAGTTACAAAATACAATGACGGCTATTACTATAACAATTATTCTCTGATTTAATGTAGATATTACTGAATAACTATTACGAATACATTGAATATATTTGTTTTTGTGTTGGATACCTAATGAAAATTAGAAAGACGGCTGACGTCTTATTTTTAAATTATATTACAACTTTAGTCAAAGTCAGTCTATAATTCAAGAGCCAGTTTCTAAATTTGATAAAAGTGTCAAAACACTCATAGTTAAAATTTATAACTACGCGGCGAACCCGTTATAACTTTTATGTATAAAGGGGTTAGTTTCTAAGTCTACTGAAGTATTTAGTTACGAAGCGTTGATGAATTTGTTATAATATTAGACTTTATACAGACTGTACGTCTGCTTCTACTCTATTATTTCGTTACCTGTCTACCCTCAGCACTTCTTAAGAAATCGAAAAAGCATACGAGCGTTTTCAGTAGAAATGAAACAACCAGTAAAGATATTTCATTAAAATGTAGATATGTCAAGTATTGGATTTATCACACTGTTCTCACTGTAATCGCTCTACTGATTACTGTCAGGACGATATTTTTTTCGTAATATGTTCGAACTTATTTTAAATTAGAAATGTTATAAAATACCGACAATTTTGCAGTCTATTTCTGCTGCTACTAGTGGCCTGTTTTGTAACTTGTATTCCGATATTAATTGACATGACACCTTACTCCTCGTAATGGTAAAGAATAAGGGATATCACGGACGTCACCAATTCATTTATGCTATAGGTATCAATAACCATATTATGTGAAGTGGAAAATATTTTTCTTGGAACTTTATAGCTTTCTACTAAGACCGTATATGATCAATAGACGCCATAAATTATCACGTTATTCACGCTCTAAAGCACAAAACAACAAGCGACACGATGTTGAAGGCTTAACTTCTAACTAGGCCACGACTGTAGGAATTTATGGAACATGATCCATTTAGTTGAAAGCTAGAACTACATAGCTCTGTATCGCATTTCACCTATTCGCATAAAATGTCAACGCTGGCGACATATATGTCTAATGTAATAAATACTTCAATATACGTAAAATTACTTGAAAATTCAATCTACACCAATATTTATTAATGCTGTAAAGTTTGCTTGTTCGGTTGAAAGCATTAATTTCAGAAAATAGAAGTTCCAATTGACCCCGACGTCTGATGAAAAAAACACAAATAACAAAATTTCATCCGAAAGATGGCGATAGGTTTGCCCACTGCCACGTTGGATTTACACAATGTGATGTGGCATATCAAGTGCTGTATTCACAACCTTGAGAAATGTCAATTCCTCCGACTCCCCATCCAGGATAATAGTCATCAATTTTATTTATATTTACTTACTAACAGTAGAGCCGCTTGCTCATTTGGTCGCCATAGTATAAGAAAAACCATTATATCAAGACAAAAACTTTCAACTTTTTATTCCAATTTTCTTATATAACTGGTAATGGTACTGGAGTTTTTGTTCTTAACGTCGCCTTTCGAATTCATTGAGCCGACATCGCCTTACTTCAATAGGTCTCTCGATAAAGACTTGTTAGTGTTTATATATTAAATTTTGTTGACGAAACATTACCTATGTCATGGCATGTTACACAAATAAACAATTCAACAAATGTAAGTTAGCATTAACTATATCATTGCATACGCAAATAAACAATTCAATTAAATATTGGGTATATTTTGTATAGATTTCTACAAATTAAAGTCCATTTTCAACATTTTAAATTAACTATATACAAGGGAGAAAGTTTGTGCTAAGGACCAGAACAATAATTTCGAATAAAACGAATTCAATTTAATTATTAATTTCTTAGAAAGTTTCCCCGTGAAATATTCATAGTCATTCATTACTACATTATTTTTCACACCAACAATTCAATTTACAAATAAAATAAAAATGAACGAACATATTTATTTCAACTTTATTTAAAGATTACACAAATAAAAAATAAATTCTTTCATTTCTACAGTATTAGCTTTCAAAAGCTAGATTATATGTATTATGTTTGTAAATCCACCGATTTAGTTCAGTTGGCACGGGAATTTGCTCAGAGAATAGTTACTGAGACTGAATAACTAAATTAATGTTACGGAACTATCGGGTCTATACTGATAAATTGTTATCACGTACAGAAATTAATTAAGAGGCCCATGTCTTTGTTCTGCTAACAGTTATACCTATTCACCTACCGCGCATGTGTTAAGTGACGTTAATTTAATGATGGAACGATAAGTAGGTATACGTGTCAGAAATAATGATGCTTTTCCGTTCTATTAAGATCATTACCGTTTTTACATTATTGATATGTGCTTAAATTTTCTTCAAATTATCCTTAGTGTAAAATTCTCGAAAGCAATCGATTTTTATACTCTCACCGAGTATCAAACCAGCAATCGACTAGATGTATAATTTCTAATATCACTATGTTGATGAACGATCAAAAACGATCAAATTTCCACATAAGGAATTTTCTTCTACCACCGAATCAATTAATGAGGTGGTATTCCTTAAAGATTTTTCTAACACTTAGAATACTTACTTACTTATTTCTATTATACCATTGTGTATATACTGTATCGATGAACAAACAGTAAGCCAAAACGCAGAGATTTTTATGTAATCGATTCACTTTACTTTTTTAACATCAATAAATCGAGGAAGAAGTAGATAAATTACTCTTATATTTTAGAATTGTACATAGTTCCGGGTATTTCAGGGTAAAAATTAACTACGGAAAGAAAGCACGTGATTCCAGTGAAATAAAAGCAAATCTGCAAGTAAAACCCTACCCACCTAGCTATGTACCTAACGTAATAATAGGATAATATCATCGTCTTATGAGAAGACATGCGCCCTGCAGTGTGGCGTTAATGGTTTGCTATAATATGGTAATGTACTCAAGTCTAATTACATCTTAATTCTGTTTGCAGTTGTCTACGGCGTGCTGATATCATCAAAGTGTTTGATGGTAGAGACACAAGTGCGCCTGCTATAGCGATGCTGTGTAACGAGCTTACAGGTTAGTATCATTATAGTTATACTTTATGCAAGGTTACTCTTAAAGGGTATACTCTGAGCTAACTTTTAGTAATAGTACTCATAAACTGAAATAATTTCCCCTAGTATAAAATGGCTCGATCACGTGATAAATGTCGTATAAAAAGTTCAGGATTTATTTTCTGATAGCCACTTGTAATCTTGGGCTTAGTGATTTAGTTTCATTAGTATTCTAACTTGCTTTTGGTTTAGTATGTTTTATGGTTAATCCCATATATTTGGTCCCTTCGTTCCACATATTTGGTAAAAAAAGCAATATTAATAAACTAATTTAAAATTTGCTCATTATTTTTTCCTTGATATTAAAGACAACATTAAATTTGGCAGCACTACCATGCTCCTAGATCTACCACAATCATCTACTTATCTCGACGTCTCGTCGTCCCCCAGTTCGCTTTTGAATGAATAATTCCAGGTCAAAGCAACACCGACCTGTAAGGGTTAACACTTTTTTGAAAAACAAGTTGTTAGAAGAAAATTATTTCACGTGATATAAACACTTTTATATAATCTTACTTTACTGCAATCTTAGGCATAGTAAAAATAATAGACCACCAAAAAATAATAGTACACGAGAAATGGAATTTAATTATTAATATTTTTCCTAAAGAAAATTTACCTTTCCATGTAAAACCTAATTTATCCATTCCAAACTCGCTACAACATTGTTGAATGCTGCATACCCGTGAAAAGTAGTAGGGTAGTGCTAGTGGCAACCCTATAAACAAATACCTATTGCCTCAACTACGAGTTGTGATTGCTAGCTCCAGTTTCAATACCTAATTTCCAAGTTTTCAGTATTCAGGCCACGTCACGTTTTACTGTTGTTGCTTAATTTATAGTTTTGTACGTTTTTCTTAATAGCACTATTGTTATTGGCAGAGGAACGTAGGGCACAATGTATGAGCGCGAGATGTGTTTATGTTAGATGAATTAAATAACAGACAAAAATTGTGAATACTTATAATAATTGTTATCTACACTAATAGCAACAGTAGTGAAAAGTGACAATAATATACAATGACTATGCATAGTTCTCTGCACCACCTATATGTCCGCCAAATAGAACACCGTAAACCAATTAACAACAAAAAAAAGTTAATAAATATGTGTACAGAATTTGCAATACTGCCTAATAATGATAATGAGTAAGTAAATGAAAAGTCACACACAAACACCTAATAATTATTGAATTAACTTTTTATAGTTTTATATATCACTGAACTGGTAGGTACCTGCGTCTTTATCTGCACAAACTTTCATCTTCTATTTCCACAAAATACTTTTTGAGATAAAAGCTAGCCTACGTCCACGTGATACAATTTATCTTCAAGTTCATTAACATCCGTTCAGCCGTTTAAACAAAAAAAATATTCTTAAGCTTTTATAAAGTTATTGACACTAGGTTTGTAACTGGACTTTAAAAAAATCTTGAATACATCAATGTATGTGATTATTTTATTTGTTATTATTATTAAACATTTATTTTTTAACAATCAGTGCCATAATATAATATAATTAAAAAAATATTCTTATAGCACATAAAATTATTGAGACTAGGGTTTGTAACTGGACTTTGAAAATCTTGAATACTTCCATGTTTGTGATTATTTTATTTGTTATTATTATTAAACATTATTTATTTAGCAATCAGTGCCATAATAAATTAAATTAAAAAAAATATTCTTAAGCACATAAAATTATTGAGACTAGGGTTTGTAATTGGACTTTGAAAATCTTGAATACTTCAATGTATGTGATTATTTTATTTGTTATTATTATTAAACATTATTTATTTAGCAATCAGTGCCATAATAAATTAAATTAAAAAAAATATTCTTAAGCACATAAAATTATTGAGACTAGGGTTTGTAATTGGACTTTTTGAAAATCTTGAATATTCAATGTATGTGATTATTTTATTCATATTATTATTATTAAACATTATTTATTTAACAATCAGTGCCATAATAAATTGAATTAAAAAAATTGTTCTTAAGCTCATAAAATTATTGAGACTAGGGTTTGTAACTGGACTTTGAAAATCTTGAATACTTCAATGTATGTGATTATTTTATTTGTTATTATTATTAAACATTATTTATTTAACAATCAGTGCCATAATAAATTGAATTAAAAAAATATATTCTTAAGCACATAAAGTTATTGACACTAGGGTTTGTAACTGGACTTTGAAAATCTTGAATACTTCAATGTATGTGATTATTTTATTTATTATTATTATTAAATATTATTTATTTAACAATCAGCGCCATATTACCCGGTTTCCCCTACATAGGGAAATACATATTAATACTGTAACTCCGAGTTACACTTACAAATGTATTTTCTTAGCTATAAAATATGAATTAGCATATTATACAAATGAGAAATCTATTTTTGTAGTAGCTAACACATTACTCAGTTTATACGTTAATACCTAAAGGCCAGTTCAACCTCAACAAAGTAAATACTCTTTATGTTGTAGGTATATGATGTTTAAATACACTTAATAGATAATGTTTCTAGAATAACCCAATATCTAAAGATATTTCCTTGACCTTTATAATCATGTGATTTGTTATCTAAAGAAATATTACGTAATGTTGCTATTAAACAGATAGTTCTACTTTAAATAGGTATTAACCCAGATTACGATTATACATTCTTCGTTAACTGAATACCTAAAATTTTAACTCGCAAATAATTTGGTATGTCCATGGGAACTACTTGTAGAGTGATCTCCTAAAAACAGCAACAGCAGGGTTTTTTTTACTAGAATTCATCTTCATAATCAAATGGGTCACATTTGATTTAAAAAATCATTGTTTTTTATCTAAATGATTTGTGCAAACAAACTGCCAGTCCAATTGATGGTAAGTGGCAACCATAGCCTATAGGGGGAAGAGTATCGTTAGTAATGTGGATTAATAACTCCATTGTTAGCAGTGTACCATGTTAGGTTCAGATCCTCATAATTCCTCCTGGCAAGGATCATGACATAATATGTCACGATCGATCATTTCACCAGGAATATCCTGGTGAATTTGCTACGATGGCCTAACTGACCTGACCTGACTCATCTTATCATTTTCCACTGGTGCCCCGCCAGCGTATATCGGTAGCGCAGGCGATGCAGGCGAGCGTTCCATTATCATCCCTTAAAAAAACTGTAGACTATAATATCGTCATATGACGCCTGTGCATCTCTCATGCATTGTCATTTCCGAGGGCAAAGGTATTATTTCATACGCTGGTAATAAACATTCGTCTAATTGCAACAATATATTATTATACTTTTAAACTACAAAGGGTACCTAATTAATAACAATAAAAATATCTGCTAACTTTAAATGCAAGCTGCTTTGGAACTAAAATAGATGACACAAAACGTACTCACAGATGCTAATTTGTTAAATTTAGACTCAGTAAAAAAAATTGTGTGTGTGTGTTTAGATATGTGAAATTTCATAGACATATTAAATAAAATAATATCAATATATTGACAATATTAATTTGTTTCAGGATACGAGGTGCTGTCAACAGGTCCAGCGTTACTTCTGCAGTTTACAGCGAACTCAGCCACACCTGGTCAAGGTTTCGCCGCAACATTTCATTTTCAACCACCGCCGGACTCCACGGCAGCTGGTTTGTTGATTTTATTAAAAGCAACTACTTATACCATATTATTCAGCATGTGTCTTTCTAAAAAACAACTTTTGTCTGAAAGCGCAAATAAAAACTATTTTTTAATGAACGCTACTGATATCTGTAACTATATGAGATCAGCTTCAGATAGATGTGATATACAGACAGTGTATAACTACAGAAATATATCTCTACGTGTATATTGCAGGAATAGTTTCGTTTGAATAAAACATTTAATATTTTCTATGGAGAATATATAATCCCATACCTACATTAGTCACCAGAATAAACGTTTCCTCGGTTTGTGGGTAGAAAAGCACCTTAGAGTAATTGCAAGCGATCTAGTTTAATTTGCAACTGCGGCCAACAAGGTATGAATGAATAGAAATTTTGGCTTCATTCCAGGTACACTCTACTTCGGATGTAATACCTACCTATCAATACACAAGTAGATAGATATAATATTACTGTGAGGACTTGCTTTATTCACTATTATTGAAAAACCAGAGCGTCAGAATTAATTTTGTTTTAAATATTAGTTAGAAGTAAATGCAATAATTATTATTCGTAATATGTAGAATTTATTTTCCACAACAGTACTCATTGCAAAAGTAATTTTTGTCCATATGGCGCCATCTATTAGAATTATTCTAAACTGAGTCTCCTGGCTTCAAAGCATATAACGAAATACTCGGATTGAAGCGCCATCTGTACGTGATATTACGGAGAGAATCCCACAGATGGCACTTGTGTATTTTGCCAAATTATTTATCATGTCAATCATTCATACCTGAAATTAAAAAAAATCTCTCCAACCAAATTGAAGATAAGAGGACACCATATAAGGACACAAAATAAATAGTTATCATAATTTTTTTTATTTATTATACAAAAATAAAATCTATTATGTTACCAAAGGAAGCACATAGGGTAAATAAATATGTAACTGAGATAGGCACTCACTTTTACACCACTCGTTTTACACTATTGATTTTCGAGAAACTTGCTTTTGTATGTATATACTTCGGTACCTATTTAAAGTTAAATATATTTTTCATGAAGTATGGATTCCTAATACGCATAGAGCACATTCAGTATACTATTATGAAAAGAGCAAAGGCTTCCCTTTACGTTTTCACATTTTCCTACCTTTACGTAGTCATCGGACCGTTATTTTTCTGCGAAAATACCCAAATCCATCCAGCAATAGATTGGTGTAACGGTAACTGTCTCAGGTCACCTTATTGGTGCTTTCGTACCCAATCTTATATGATAATTATCTAAAATACAAAAATATTTGTTTTTTGGGTTAATAGGGAATGCTGCATTCGGTTCGCTAATGTATATTATGCTAATGGGACCTTTAGTACTGTACACTCGTTGTTGCTCCTAAAATACTTTGAAGTCAAGAAAAAATCACTATTTACATCAATCTAAAGGGTAATATGATCGCAATTACAGTAAAAAAATGTAATTTGCAATCGAAAGATAATTAAACAAGGCAAGTGTAGATTAATCAGATGAACATGTTAGGTTTTTATTCCATCGTGACAAATTCACACAGATTTACGATCCTTTCTAATAGAAACCACTTGAAGTTGATCTGACATAGTACATTGCTACCAATGGGGTTACTAGTTCCCATAACCAATGATAATTACACATAGTAATTACCATAATATACATATTATTATATAAATATCATAATTAAATCGCACTATATTTGTTTTTTATTATTGTTTTAGATTCCGATCGTCTCTTGAAGTTGAGTTTTGGAAAAGCCTTCGAATCCCTTGGTCCAGAAGTCAGCGCTACAAGTAAGTTTATATTTTATATAAATAAGTACTAACTTTAAGTAAGAATACGCAATGCCTTTAATATGAAATTTGTCAGGTTGTTTTCCCATTGTTTTTTTGTCGTAAAGGCGTTCCGGTCTGAATTAAACCGTGTCTGTCCAGTTCCATATGTCTCACAAGTACTAAATTGCTTTGAAGATATATCATTCAATTTAATATTACATTTCATATTGGTAGATTATAACTAATTATAACTTTTTTGGTTATAATTATTAAGATTCCGCTATGATCATCGCACATCAACATATATAACTGTAATTTTTTTATACAATGACATAGTTTTTATAATAGAGTTTATGTGACATTTGTAATCTAAATAAAACATTTTTAGGTTTCTGAACTAAAGGTAAAACAATACTCTTACCTACTGCAGAAGTATGTCCGTCAATCTATCTATCACAACTGTATAGTTAAAAAACTACAAATAGTTGGAGATGTTAAGTTTAATATAGTTTTAAATACTGTCTGTATCTCTTACTTAAAAAAATCACTGTGATATACCTATTCGAAAGTAATATTTTTCACCTAATATAATTTAGCTTTAGCTTTATTTTTTTTAGTCGTCACTTTAGAAAATTCAACTTAAAGTATAAAAATTTTGCTCCATCTAAGTTAAATGTATTTCCTTCTAAGTGCGGCAATGTCTATTTAAATAGTGCAGAGAAAAAAGATAGGTGACGTCAAAGCAAATGATAAAGTGAGTCCGAGCGCAGCCGAGTAATTTCATGTTTTAAAATTGACAAAGTGAATAATAAATCCTCGGCGCTAATGCTGCGGATCCTGTGTTACCAGGTGTTCCGTTTTGTTTTCCCTACAAATTCCCCTAAAATCCCTCTAACAATCGGGCTTCGAAGAAAAATCCTATAAGTATTAGTAATGACCATTTCACAATATGTTAATATTTTTTTTTATTTAGGCCACAAACATTTCATAGTTCTAGTTAGTTCAATAATTCCGCTATTCCAATATTCATATTTTTATAATAAAATCATTCGTCTACCTACTACTACCTACGCCAAATTTGTTCTCTCTACACACCATCTAAATATTTGTTCCATTCAAATTTCCCTCCATCGCTACAAAATCGAAACTCCACAATCTGACAACACCGCGCGGAGCTACGTGTCGCGATAATACCTACGAGTAATTTTGTTCGAAGGTTTATGTTTATCTTTCTTTTGATATTTTCCCCATTTCCTATACTTTGTATGCGACGATACCTTATCCCAATCTTAGGTATTATTACCAATTAAAGTTACATGTACACGCAAATTTGAACTTGTGAACTATATAACATATACTGCAATACATTTAGAATACATATCCTTTTAACTCGAATATATTTTATACTATAAATAGTTTGTCGGATCTTAAAAAGAATAATTTAATGCTAAATAAGAGAATGTAATAGAAGATTATGAGAGTAATGTCCGTGGTGTTTTGTTCTTGTACAGATACAGGCGACGGTTGCAACTTAATGTCTACTGGACGTGTTTGCTATTCTAATCACTTAAAAAAAATATTTACCAATAAATGTACCTAACAAACTATGTTAATAATGTGGATCAAACAATCTGAAAGCTCTAATATAGTATTATGATGTAGTACATGTTGAATAACAGAAGCTATATTACATAACGCCATTTAGTCTCCATCTAAGCAAAGCTTGTGTATTGTATGATAATTTGTTATACTAGCATATGCTGTAAATCAACGAAGTATGAGTTAGACTGCTATTTCGTATAGGAAAGGTGCTGTATATTACTTGATATAAAAAAAAAATAATTTTTACACGCATTAGTATAATATACGTTGATATGAAACAAAACATTACAGTCTTCATTAGCGAGTGCGAGCTACACTGCATAGTAAACAAATTTAACTAAATTAATTTAATTCTTAAAAACATAATGTAAATACTAGTGCACTGAAGGAAATAGCATTACGGGTTTTTATTTGAAAACATTCGCATCCAGTTCATACAGAAGTGTCTATACTATGAGACATTATACTGAGAGTTGTTATGATTTACTGAGAGGATTTCGATAACGTATACACCTACAGCAGCATCTAATTTAAGCTGAAATTTCTCTCTAAATCGCCGATGTTGGTGAACATGTTTCAATCCTCGAGATGATTGTAAATGTGCCATCTGCTGTTTTTAATAACTCTACTAACGTATAGGGTAGACCTTGGATTGTATAAATTTGGCAAAACTTATGCATATAGAAAGCTCATAAAAATTTGTACAAAAAATTGGTTTATTTTACTTCTTTTCGTTCTTTTACCATACACTAATTTAAGAAGAGAAACTATTTTAGAAGTTGTTAAATAAAGAAAAAAAACATTTCATACCTCCGCGTTGCAGTGTCACTGTTAAATGCATTGGACTGCAGGTAACGGCTGAACGTAAAACATCCAACACTAAATAAATGATCAAACAACGTGCACTCACCTCTGTATAATATATACGGGCCAAGGATATGTAGACCTAGGTATAAAACACTGAAAAGTCTGAATACTCATCGTACATTTTTGATGGGAATTTTCTATTGTTTTTTATTACTGTTTTCATTTCGTTTGCTGTCAGCTAGTCAATAAAAACCTAGACAAAGGCGTATTGGAAGACTATAAGTACTGAGATGAAAAGAAAATTAAAATTCAGTTGAGTTTCTTGCCAGTTCTTCTTAATTGAATTTGTGTACTAAACTAGACAGGAATAAAAGGGAGGGAAGAAAATTATATTGCAAAAAACTTGATGTTCATAAGCGGTTAAAATGTCCTACATGAATAAATGATTTTTGAATTTGAATTTGAAAGGTAGTCTGTAAGCAGCGCAGTAAACTTTCTCTATATATTTTGATTGGATTTTGTATTGTGAGTTTCTTTGTCTAAAATGTAGTTATTTGTCAACATAGTCATAACTTAGACGACTTGATTTTTGCGTACATATTACCACAGATAAGATAATATTATATAGTATTACAAAGATGTGTAACTACTTACATACATAAAAATTTTTAGTATCCACCAAATCAGGTATATAGGTAGGTATTATTATTCGATATAAAGACGTGATATTTTATATCGAAATTACATCTCACTCTAATCGCTGGATTACTACTAATCTTTTTTGATGTAGAATAAATAAAAATGAAGGAGAATTCTTATCCGGTGAGACATTAGACCTTATATACTGTGTATGTAGGGATTCCAGGAAAAGTGCTTAATTTATTATAGATTTATGAAATACCAAGACCGTGGGCATTATTAGTAAAGATGACCATTGGTCCATTTCTAACAATAGCCTCTATACATTTATCTTAGAAGCCATTGGTGAATTTGCAATGAATGAATGAAATGTGAATGTGAATTTGTATAAGTGATCTGATTTCTTTCAAAGCGGTAAAATTATATTAAGTATAATGATTCATGAGTTCATAGATTTTTTTATTTTAAGCTGAAATCAATATACTAAAACTTAAATTTGAAATAGTAATACAGAAGCAGTTACAACACTATCTGTATGTCTATAAGAGCATGTGTGTTAGTGTAGAAATAGAGTGCCGTAGGGACTGTAGTTAGGCCAGCCGTAACAATTTATATAACTAAAGGAAGCTGGGGAGCAAATCGGTCAAATATAAACTAGGTAATTCACATGGACTCTTTTTTTTGTAGTAACGAAAACGTTGCTTTGCGTAAATTTAGTCTTGGATTCAATTCTCTGAAGAGTCTATTAAAGGATAAGACCTTACCTAATGTATTAACTTATAGTACATATTTGTTTTGTCGTGATTTCTCGTAACTTTTACTTGAACCTGATAACAATTAAGTCACAAATAACATATATAGTTTTGTACAAAAATTATGTCATATATTAATAGAAATAATGACGCTTCTAAAATTTCGTATTAATGTACCTCACAGCTGTCATATGCCCGTTACTTATATCTAAATTCTACTGGCTTCCAATTTTATTCGCGGCAAAAATTTTTAGGTTGATTTTGTCGTGAATTACCCGATTTCAACTTGTCTAAGACATTTTTTTCAAATTTATGAAAACATTTAAAACTCTGGAAAAATGTTTTAGATATTGTACCGAAGGGTAATTAAATTTTGTATCTCAGGTTTTGACAACGAAATTATAATATTAGGTATTCGCCACGAATGTACCAATAAAATACTTCTATATTACCTATACTAGGATCTCAAGCCCCTATGTTTGAGTTTAATTATCCGTACCGATATTATAAATAAGGAAGTGTGGCTGTGAGATACAGCAACACTTGGTTACCTTATCTCAAGTAAACAATTGAGCAGGTGTAAATAAAATTTGATGCGAGGACACATTATATCACGTAGGCAGATATATGCTACCTATTGTTTATAAAAAAGCAGAAAATGTCGCTGGAATCAGCTAGTAATTCATATTTAAAACCGAAATATCACATGTTACTTAACAAATTGGCTACATAAGTGTTTAAGAAACATATAAACGCAAACTTGTTACCCCTTTTTTCGCATAGGGAGATAAAACAGATATTTCAAAAACCAGCTCTCACAAAATTATCTTTGCTTACATAGCAGCAAAAGCACACAAAACTACCCATTTGTGGTCCGAGCTATGCGAATGCCATGCCAAAATTCCTACCCTAACTCCCAGCGTACCTATATACGGCAGTTTACTGAAAAGCTTTTTTCAAATAAATTTTTAGATAATTTTGTACTGTGCATGCCAAATGGTTACATGACGTCATTATAAATCGCCATATAGGTTGACGATACAGAAGTTTACATGTGCCTCACCTTCTGAAATTCTAACTAATATAAATGCGGAAATGAGTTTGTTTGTTATTCTTTCACACTATTTCTTAGTGTGAAAGAATAACAAACTTTGTTCTGTTATGGGTACATAACAATTGATATAGATCCTTAAATACCTTTTTTGTAAATACACGCAT